GGACCTACCCATGTCAATTTTTATTTTATTTTTAACTAAGCACACCCATAATTTCAAAATTCAAAATTTTTTAAACCAAGTTGTTAATAATCCATCAAACTATAAAAAAAAAATTCAATAACTTAAATTTCAAATTTCTTCAAACAATTTTTTTTTTTTTTTGTATGTTTTCAGCAAAATAATGATCACTTGAACATCTTACAAATCACATGGCCAACAATAAAAGGGTATATATTTTGAATATATTATATAAATTAATTAATTAAATAAATAAATAAAATATGTAGTAAGCCGGGCCGGGCTGGGCCAAAAATATAATTTCCAAACCCAACCCGTTAATCAATCAGGTTGAAAATATTAACCCAGTCCAACCCTATGGACTAAAATAATATTCCCAAACCCTAAAAAAATAGGGTTGGACTGGGCGGGCTAATGCCCACCCCTAATTTTGAGGCTCTGAAGATAACGACTGGACAAACCTTCAATGATGTTTGGCATCATAAAATTCGACCCTACAATCTCTTAAATGATAAGCCTTTTAAAACTTGTTTAGGATCCCTTAAATAAGTGCACTTATTTAAATCACATTATCTCTCTATTTTTCTACACATTTTTTAATTCCCTCTCCACATACTAACCTAAACCTCTTCAATTTATTACAATTTAACTTTGCTGGGAGGTGTTTGTCAACCTATTCTATTGGGACAAAAATAAATCAATTTTTCTCAAGCTAAAATAGCCTGAACCAAATGAGGACTAATAATTTCCAATTGATGCATTCCTCTCTCTAAAGAATTCCCTCCTAAATTTTATTTTAAATATTTTTAATTTTATAATTTTAAATATATTATTTTATTTTTTAAATATTATATTTTTTAATATTTTAAATTCAAAACACAACTCCACATGTCAAAACAAACATAGGATGGTTGGGCCCACGGATTAATAATCCTAATCCCATACTTTAATCCTTCCAATCAAACATGCCCAAAATGTACATTTTGCATCTGGAGATAATAGCATAGCCATCAAATTCTCACTATCCGAACCACTAGCGAAAACAAATCTTCATTACAAACTCAACTCTTAACATTATTGACATTCACAATGTCATTAGCTACATGTCAATATTTTTATACACCTCATTCATTCAATCTCTATCCCTACCCTCTCCTAACACAATTGTACAATTGTTCACACGTAAATGTGAAATTTAACTTCTACTAAAATATACTAATTTCTTGTATAATTGTGTTGACTCAGCAGTTACACAAGAAATTAGCATATTTTATTGGTAACATATTAGGAGAAATTAGGACTATTATTGGGAGTTGTAAATAAAAAGTATATTTTCCGGATGGGAAAGGTCCACGTTCGCTGTGTGAAATCTCACCGTTCCATTTCATTCGATCTGTGATGCCTATTACTTTAATAATCGTCTCGATGTGATCTCTAATTACAACGGCCCCATGGGGGCGGAGAATTCGATACATCTCAAAGAGAATGTCACACCTGCATAGGCACAAGGTAATTGTCAAGTGTGTCACAGTGCAGATATTGAATAAATTCGACTAACGAGCCCAATGCCCAATGGGGTAGATTTTACTAAGCAAAATAAGAAAATAATGAAATAGCAGAAACTAGTACTCGAGCCCCAATATAGAAGATACTGAAGAGGGGGTAAATTCAACATACAAACTTTTCATCTTCTGGTATTCAATTGTTTTCATTTTCTGTTTCCTGTTCTCATTTTTCAGAAAGCACAAAATTGTTTGGTGAACTGTTTTCCACAATTTTTTTTCGAAAACAACCCAGTTTCAGGAAACATCCAAAAACTCGTTTTTTGGGAAAACTATTTCTGCATAAGAATAAAGATTGAGAGCTCTAATTTTAGAGCTTTAATGATGTGGTGAAGAGTGGGATCCACATGTGATGTGATGTGATGGGTGTGTTTATATTTTTGTTTTTTATTTTTTTTTCTCTTGTCACGTCATTAGAGCTCTGTTTAAAGCTTCAAAATTAAAACTCTTTATCATTGTTGTTTGCATAAAAATGAGAACAACATAAAAACGATGAGTGTTTTCAAACATTTGATTGTTTTTGTTTTTGAAGACATAAAATCAAGCAAATGAAAACACAACTAAACAGGCCCACAAATGTTGCTACATTCTTTTCAAAGCTGTAAGATTTGTATGAAAATCATCTTGGGCAGTTCTATAATTGGGTGCTGAAACCTTGAGAAGAAGAAAAATATATTTGCAAATTAGCATAAAAGATTTAATACCTACCGAGCTATTTATAGCATTTAAATGTGTTCAGTTAGAATTTTGGCGACTCTTGGCTTTTCCTAACACATGCTAAGAAGAATCGGAATAAAAATAATATTTAGGGCTTCTCAATAAATTTGCTGGTGGTTGACGAAATCAAGAACCAATTAGTGATTTCAAATACCAAACGAAGCAAGATGAAATCAAGAACCCTCCAAGCAATAGTTAAAGATTTAGATACTTGTCCATATACATGCTAAACAAACCACCAGCATGTATTAAATCATAAGTTGGAGGGTATGTCGTGAAGGGCTCACACCTTCAAGCAAAAAAGCTCTATAAGTCAGTTGATTTGTTATGTACAAAATGTAAGAAGAGCATATCATAGTGAAATTAGTAGTACTTCACAAATTAATAGAACCACGCACAATATGAAGGCATAACTTCCATACTTCTAACCTAGAATAGATGAAAAAAATAAAATAAAATCAATTTCAGATAGTTTCTTCTATTAGTCAGTTGTCTCCAGTTAATGGAGATCTCATGGTACAAGTAGTTATCACATCCCTCCAAATAGACTTTTGAAGCCGTTTGGGGTTAGCTTTTTGAGTGTCTTTTTCGTTTTTATGAGTTATTTTCTTGTAGAATCTAAAAAAAATTGATGCATTTGGAAATTTGAGTGGAGGAGTGGGAGATGGGTGTGAAATTGAGGTTTGTGAAGTGAGACGTCACGGATGCAAGGTCCCTGTTTAGTAGGGTTTATTTCTAACTTATTTCAGCTTTTAATTTAATTTAAGCTATTTTGATGTGTTTGGTTCAACTTAACAATACAACTTATAGCTTTTTGTAAGTTAAAAATCAGCTTATTCTTTGAGTGGGGAAGGACAAGCTTAATTTATAAGTCAAAAATCAATTTATGTTCACAGTTATAAGATATAAGCTATAATCACTTTCTCACAATTCTACCAAACGGGGAGGAAAGAAAGCTTGAATACGTCTCCAGGGTTAAAACCCGATAAAGGATACTTATTTAGTAATTTTATAGTATAGACGTATGATATTTTATGGTATTATAATTAATAAAAAAAATGAATAAGTGAGATATTATATTAAATGATTGAAGAACATAAGTAGATATAATAAATAATGATTGATTAAAAGTACGAATACGTAATATTACAAAAATATTTAATATTCTATAATTTTCCCGGGGGGGGGGGAAATGGAATCCAGATCTTCGGATTAATGGTGCCTAACGGGACGTGACCTCGCGTAGCCACGTGGCCTTCAGACAGCATAGGTGGGCGCCACCTGGAAGAAAAATACAATAGTGCTATATGTATTAATTAGTGTACTAATTAACATATCAATATTAATTATGACATTATTATTGTCTCCACTCATTATAAAAATTATAAATACTAAAAATTTCTTAAATTATGTCACATCATCAATTAATATACTAATTAATATATTAATTGGTGTATATAATATTATTCAGAAAAATAATTATAAAAGCAGTGAAATAATTACGTCCCAATTTGTCCCAATTTATTGGTCTTTTTAAGAATTTCAACTTTTTAAATAGAAGTTATTGTTTGGTCTATGGAAGTATCGTACTGCTCTACAATTGATAAAGGGCATATGACCTATAATTTTATATCAAGTTTGAGAAATTTAAAAAGATATGGGAATTTGTGATTGACTTATAATATAGTCACGTGGTGCCTCAAAGCTAATCAATAATTTTTCTTTTTTAAAAAGATATACAATCATTATATTTAAATTTAAATTTCAAAATATCTTTACACTAATGTCTTTATCTTTTCAAATTTTTTGATATATTTATAGGCTCCGTTTGGCAAGAGCTAAACGGGATTTTTTTGGCTATTTTAGCCACAAAAAATAAAATATCACATCCAACCCATAATCATTACATTCTTCTCTCACAAAAAAAGCCAAAAAAACCAAAAAACTCTTCCCAAACTAAACTTTTTAACCCAAGCTAAAATAGCCAAAAAGTCAAAAAGTCAACCCACTTTCCAAACGGAGGCATAATTACTCAAAAAGAATAGTTTTGAAAAACTAAATAATTTTTACTTTGATTTTTTAAATGGAACTATTATTTTAAAATATTCCAAAATAAAATAGTGAACCAACAAAATGAAACGGAAAGAATTATAATAATAAAAGTATCTACTAGTCTATAATTATTTTTATAAAATAAATTGATTTGTAATTTATCCGAACTCGAAGAACTTCCTTTTTGGAGCCATTTCATCCACCCCTTTTGTCAAAACAATCACAAAATCAATCGTATAATATATGCACCCTATCTATTGTTGGAATGTAATTTTGCGGCCAATATATGCAATTATTGGATTGTAATCTCGTGTCCATCGTATCAAATTTTAACAATAATACAGTGAATAGCAATTGTTAAAGTTGTTCTTATCTTCAATTTAATACAAAAACTTTGTTGGGAGGTGTTTGCCAACCCATGTCAAAACAAAAATAAATCTACCAATTTTTCTCCAGCTAAAATAACCTGAACCAAATGAGGACTAAATTATTTCCAACTGATGCATTCCTCTCTCCAAAGAACAGAGTAGCTTATTCCTCCAAAAAAATGAAAATAAATAAAAGAACAGAGTAGCTTAGAACTTATTCAAATGGCTCAAGAACATATCAACTGACCTCAAGTCTACATTTTGCATATGGAGATATGGCATATGGAGATATGGCATAGCCATGATCAAATTATCACCATGCAAACGACTAGTGAAAACAAATCTTCATTACAAACTCAACTTTAAAATTATTGACCTTCTCAATGTCACAACATGCCAATGTTTTTATACATCTCATTCATTCAATCTCTATCCCTATGCTCTTCCAACACAATTGTTCGTACACAAGAGTGAAATTTCACTTCTACTAACGCTATGTTTGGTTAGATGATTTGAGAAGAGATTTAGAAAGGAAAAAAGAAAAGATAAACATATTTATATTTCACCTAATTTCACACACATTTTTCCTTTCCCTTTCCAAATCTCTTCCCAAATCTCTAACCATACACAGGCTAAGAAAAATTGCTCTATGGGAGAGATCAATGCATGAGCATGACTATTTCTGACCTTTGAGGCGACTGCCTATAGTAAATGCAGAGTTAACACAATTGCACAACAAATTAATATATTTTACTTGTAACATAATAGGGGAACTTGGGGCTATTGTGAGTTGTCAATAAAAAGTATCTTCTCTGGATGGAAAGGTCCATGTTCACTGTGTGAAATTTTGCCCTTCCATCTCATCCGATCTGTGATGCCTATTACTTTACCAATCATATCGATGTGATCTCTTATTACAACGGCCCCATGGGGGCGGAGAATTCGATACATCTCAAAGAGAATGTCAAGAATGTCACACCTGCATAGACATAAGGTAACTGTCAAGTCGTAATATTACTTTTGTGTCATACTACAGATATTGAATAAATTCGACCAACAAGCTCAATGGGGGTAGATTTTACTAAGCAAAATAAGAAAAAAATGAAATAGCAGAAACTAATATTATGATTCTAATATTATGAAATAGCAAAATAATATTAGTTTCTGCTATTTCATTCTTTTCTTATTTTGCTTAGTAAAATCTACCCCCATTGAAACTGCATTCAAACTTATTCAAACTTTTCATCTTCTGGTGTTCATGTGATTTCATTTTTCAAAAAAAAAAAAATTGTTTGGTGAACTGTTTTTCACAATTTTTTTCAAAAACACCCTAGTTTCAGGAAACATCCAAAAACTTGTTTTCAAATTTTGGAAAATTATTTTTGCACAAAATGAAAACAATATAAAAATGATGAGTGTATTCAAACATTTTATTGTTTCGTTTTTGAAGACATGAGAAACGAAAATAAAAATCAAGAAAACGAAAACACAACTAAACAGGCCCGAAAATGTTGCTACATTCTTTTCAAAGCGGTAAGATTTGTATGAAAATCATCTTCGGCAGTTCTATATATAATTGGCTGCTCAATCCTTGAGAAGAAGAAAAATATACTTGCAAAATTAACATAAAAGATTTATTTATCCAAAAAAAAATTAACATAAAAGATTTAATCTACTGAGCTATTTATAGCATTTAAATGAGTTCAGTCACTTTTCTCAAAGAATTTTGGTGACTCTTAGCTTTTCCTAACACACGCTAAAAAAAAATAAATAAATAAGGCTCAATTAGTACACATTAATGGGAGGAAAAAGATTGAGTACCCATCTAATCTTTGGCATAATGCACAAAGTGATGGTCCCAAGAGTTGAACCCATAACCTCAAGGTTATTAACTCAAGTCTTAACCATTGAACTAATGGTCACCCAACACATGCTAAGAAGAATTGGAATAAAAATAGTATCTAGGGCCCCTCAACCCTATTAGAACTCCCCAGTTAAGCGTGCTTAGGCTGGAGTAGTTCTAGGATGGGTGACCCACTGGGAAGAACAAATCCGTGCGGGCGTTTCTACGATGTCTGACCCACTGGGAAGAACAAATCCGTGCGGGCGTCTATTTGGTTGGATTGAATATGTATCCTGTGTTTGTCTTTTCATGGGATTAGATGTCTGGAAACGACTATTTTTAGTGAATCCAACGTTTGGTTGGATGAACTGGATAGGATAAATGAACAAAAGACTATTTTGCCATTTTTCAATTATTTACCAAGTAATAGCAATATTAAACATATCTTTAATATTTTAATTATTTTTAGCTAGATTAAACACAAATTTATTTTATTTTATTTTTTACACAATTAAATAAATTTATTTTTTTAAAAATAAATAAATAAATAAAATATCAATAAAAATTGATATTATTTTTTTAATTAAAATTTTAAATAAATTTTTTTTAAAAAATAATAATAATTAAACAATGAAATTAAATAAAACAACTATTAACATTTAAATAATGAAATTAAATAAAATATAAACAAAATTTTAAAATAAAACATCAATAAAATATTTATAAAAATTTATTTTAAAAAAAATAAATAAAACATCAATAAAAAGTTAAATAAAATTATTTTATTTTTAAATTGAGACATTTAAATTTTATTAAATTTTACTAAATATAATACATAATTAAATAGAAAATGGTCAAAATAGTCATTTCACTACCTAATCCCAACAGTAAATAATCCCCCACAATTATCCCACACCCCCAGGATAGTATAATCCCCCATATGGGGGATAAGGAGTCTGGCCGGACTCCATGTCCGGCAAACTAAAAAAAAAACAAACATCGGATTGGATTTACTGTGCGGATTACAATCCGCATAGTAAATAATCCCCCCCCTCTTATCCCCCTAGGATATTGGCCCTGTTTGGTAGAGCTGTGGGAAAGTACTTATAGCTTATGCCTCAACAGCTTATAGCTTATAACTTTCAGCTTATTCTGATTTCCAGCTTATTCTTAAAGCATCTCCTGCCCCACTCAAAGAATAAGTTGATTTCTGACTTCCAAAAAGTTATAAGCTATAAGCTAAACTAAACACATCAAAATAGCTTAAATTAAGCTGAAAGCTGAAATAAGCTGTAATTAAGCTCTGCCAAACAGGCACATTAAGCCAAGTCTTAACCATTGAACTAATGATCACCCCAACACATGCTAAGAAGAATTGGAATAAAAATAGTATTTACGGCCCTCAACAAATTTGCGCTGGCAGTTGACGATTTCATCCACTTATTGGAATTAGTGATTTCAAATACCAAATAAAGCAAAGATGAAATCAAGAACTCTCCAAGTAATGGTTAAACAAGTCTATAAGAGCAGTTGCACTTCAGATACTTACTTGTCCATATACATGCTAAACAAACCATTAGCATGTATTAAATCATAAGTTCGAGGGTATGTTGAGAAGGGCTCACACCTGCAAGCAAAAAAGCTCTATAAATCAGTTGATTTGTTATGTACAAAATGTAAGAAGAGCATATCATATTGAAATTAGTAACACTTCACAATTTAATAGAACCACGCACAATATGACGGCATAACTTGCATACTCTAAGCTAGAATAGATGCAAAAAAATAAAATCAATTTCAGATACTTTCTTCTGTTAGTCAGTTGTCTCCACTTAATGGAGATCTCACATCACTCCAAATAGACTCTTGAAGCCGTTTTGGGGTTAGCTTTTTGAGTGGCCTTTTCTCTTTTTTGACTTTTTTTTGTAGAATCTAAAAACACATGCATTTGGGAATTTGAGTAGCTTCTTGGTTTTTTTGTGAGTAAAAAAGTTTGAGTGTTTTTTTACTTTTTTAGCTAATGACAAACTGGTTTTCTGACTTTTTTGACTTTTTACCTTTTATATTTAGCTAAAAAGCTGACTTTTTTAGAACATCCCAAAGTCTTGGCAGTAATTTAACAATTAATAAAATTATAAAACTATATGGTAGTAACAAACTAGACAAAGAAAATACCAAAAATTTCAAAGTACATGAAACTGTTTTGGTGTCCTTGGACTTCGTAAAAAGATCAAATCTGACGCTTAGAAAATATCCACTCCCTAAACATATTCAAGTCTGTAACACAGCCCCCACTCCTCCCACAGCAACCCAAGACAAGAAATGGCCTATGTAAATCGAAATAACGATTGCAAGAATTGCAATTAAGTAAATAATGCAACACTAACAATCAGATTTCTCCATACCACAGTAGAAAATAAAATAAAATTTTCTTTAAGTCTTACCAGTTCATGTAGGTTCCAATTAGTCCACGTTCATAGATGATACCGAGTGTATTGTTTTTTGCATCAGTAGGAACCACATTCATAACCCAAACAGGATAGTTAACAAGTGCAGCAGCAAAACCTCCAATGCCAGCATTCATGTCCATTATATTTCTGTATTGTCCAGCAAACAGAGGTTTGAGAACACTCCCATAGTATGAAACTCTTCTTTTCCACAACTGATTATCCTCATTAAAAGCCTTGACAGTCATTCCTACAGCTACTGCATTTCTAATTCTAGGTGGAGCAATGTTCAATCGTTTAGGCCATTTCTCGAGAGCACCTCCGGATACATCATGTACGTCTGCGACCTTTGGGAGAGGAGTGATACAAGTATCCATCTTTTTGTACCTAAAAAAAGCAACAATAATTACTTTTAAAGAAAGAAATTTCTTTGCATAGTTCATCACATATAGTACCACCAATGAAACTGTGTAATTAAAGTGCCTTAAAATTTAACTAACATCATCTTTGGACACTTAAAATGAGAAAAGTCCTAATTTTTTTTTTAACCTCACAACAATGCTTTTAACCTCGTTTAGTTTTATGTCTGAATTTAATTTCCTTCACTGTGTTTCTCAGTACCAAATGTGCTATTAAGAGCTGTTCAACAAAATTTAAGAAAATGATAGATTTCTTAGTCGAAACTCTGAAGATCCTTAACTGAACACTCAAATTAAAAATTCTTCATTTTATCTTCTCACCTCCTTTAGACCAAAGAAACAAAAAGTTAGGAAGGATAGAGAAATCTTAGGACATTAATCTTCTAAGGGGTTCAGCTCATCAGTGATATTTGGCACCAGGAACACCACATGTCAATGCTAGAAAAAGTCTAGAAACATAGAAACCAATCACAGAACAAAGCACAACTCTCTCGCTTTTGGGTGTTCTCTTGATACAAGGGCAAATATCCTGGGCTACATAGGCTAAATGTGCAAATATTATGAATAAACTCACCAACCAGCATCTGCATCATCTTCAGCACAGAATTTTGGAGCTTTCCAAGTCTTCAACTTTTGAGCGCAATGAACATGATTAGTAGGTTTTTGCCATACTGCAATTAGTCCAGTCTCTCTAATCTTTTTCCAGCACAATCGCCTAGCAAGATCCTCCAAACTCTTCTGCTCATTTTCAAGATCCTGTGGTGTTCTCTCCCAACCTTTGTACTTAACCCTCCAATTTATAGGTGGCCCAGATAATACCCAATAACCACCAGGGCGCAAAACACGGTCAATTTCCAACAAGAATAGTCCATCTAGCATTTCAGTTGAGAAAATAATCAGATTGTACCACCTTAATACATTTATTAACAGAGTAGACATTTGGAAACCACGAGTATGAAATCATTCATCCTTTTCGTGTGATATTTGTGAGTATAATTTTTCATAGTTTCTAAAAAGTGAGCCAACATTTCTTTCTTCTTCTCCATTTTTTTTTTTTTATTCCTTTTAGTGAAAAATGGCTTTGGTGAACCAACATTACAGCACATCAAGGATGATCTTCACAATTTCAAGAAATAAGAAACATGTCAAAGTTGTTTAATTTTTAATAATGCTTTAAAGATAAGGGATAAAAAAATGCTAGTAAATGATTTTTTTTTTTTTTTTGAACAATTAAATTTTTTTTTTTTTTTGAACATTTAATTTAAATGAGTTCATTTTGTGGTAGTAACCAAATGTGCCCCATAAAAAATATACAAATCAAGTATAAGTACCATAAGCAGTCCATGGTATAATGCATCTTGAACAATGAGCCATATCAAAAGATCTTGATGGGTATGGCAACCTGTGGATACTAAGTATACCAAGCATGGCTGGAAGTCCTCTTTCCAGGGCAAATTGTACTTGAGCTTCATGTTTATCTCTCGGTGCAACAGACATTGTCAAAATGTTATAGTCCATTAAAGCAGCTCCAAAGCTTGCAACCTGAGAATAATGAGATTGCCCAAAATTACTAACACAATGTTAGAGAAAAGTTACTAACACACCCAAGTGTACAACTGAAGCAGTTATGATCAAATCAATAAATGCATAGAATTGCTAATGCAAAATTTCACTCTCTAATTTATACATATATATTATATAGAAATTCCTGGTTCCTAATACTGCAATTCTTAGTTTAAAGCTCCAATCTTGTTATCATGAAAGTCAGAAGAGAACTAGATTTGAACAAAACAACCAACATTCACAACAAAACTAGAAGATTAGAACAGACGGTTTTACAAGATTGAATTTTTTTTTTAAATCCCTCTTCTGTACGCTTTAAAGAAGGAAAATGACAATTCCATTATGTTTAATATTAATAACATTCTTCCAGGAAAAAAAATAATATTTGGTTTGAGTTTTCTGAATTCACTTTTCAAAAAATTGAAATTTTTTGTTTTCCGTGTTTTTTTTTGTTTTCATTAAATTTTTTTAATATTTTAAGTAATTTTTTTTTTAATTTTTAGATACACCTAACATAAATACACTTAAAAAATATAATATTTATGAAAAAAAATCTTTAAAAAATTCACTAAATATCAAAAATACAAAAATTTAGAACATTTTCTGATTCTTGTGTATTTATTGATTTTTTAAAATATTTTTTTACAAATATTTTACTTTTTAGATACATTTAGGTAAGGTACATCTAAAAAGTAAAAAAAAAAATTGCTTAAAATTATAAAAATATTCACTAAAAATAAAAAAAATAAAAAATTCAATCTCCAGAAAATTTAAACCAAACAAGAACTGAAGAATTTCTCCCCAGTTTTGGAAGATTATGGAATCAATGAAGTATTTGCCATGTGTTGTTAAAAACAAAAAACGAATCTAAATTTTTTTTTTTAAATTGTTAAGTAGAAAGTCACTTTCTCTGACTACCATTAATTAATTCCTAAAAGTCCCTTAAAATTTTGTATTATTATTACTCATCTTCCTATTATCAAACAGAACTAACAAGATTGAATCAAACAATCCAAGAAGATCCAGTGACACATATAATAAACAAACATAAAATTGAGAATACGAAAATCTAAATTAAAAGCTGAAAACCCACATTTAAAAATCTAAAAAGTACTCAGATGCAAAAAGAAAAATCAAAATCTACAACAATAATCAATTCCAGATAAAAACAACTACTAAATTTCAATCATAAAAAGCAGACTCACCCCACAACCAGTATCAAGAACAGTCCTTATATTCCCAGATTTCAAGGGCACAATCTGATTGATCTCATTAATATAACCCTTAGCCCCATTTACAAATGAAGTCCCTCCACCGGGGAAAACAAGCCGGTCGCCTTCCAATCGAACCCAATTCTGGCTTTTCTTGAACACAGTCAAGCTTGGGAAAGGCACATTGTTGAACCAAGCAAAGTCCCTGCTCTTTGGCCATGGAAATTGCCTTCTGTACCTCACTGGTCTTGGAATCAAACACCTTAAAGTCTCAGTTTTTCCGGGGCAATGCCGATCTCTGTGAAAGAAATTTGCAGTACTGAACTGAGCTTCTCTATTTGGATCTTGACATGGGGTATAGTATGTGAAGTTCTTGGGACAGTAGGGGAAGAATTGGTGGGTTTGTGGGGGATCTAGTGGGAGAGAGAGAGTGTGGTGGGGTTCAAAGTGCAGGATTTGTGATGGGTTTTGGTTGGTAGTGAGATTTTTGAGGTGGAGACAAGATGGGTCTGGGAGGACAGGGGTGGAAGTTGAAATGGAATAGTGGTTGTTGTTGTAGAAGCAGCCAAGAATGTAGAAGAGAGAACAGAGGATGGTGATGACTAAAACCCTAATCAAGGGGTTTTTGAGAGGGTTTAGAGATGGTGGTAGTTGGGGGTGTGGTTGTGTTGTTGCCATCTCTGAAATCTGATGAGGTTTGGATTGCAAGGAGCTCAAAAGGATAGTCTTTGGTGAGGATCATTTTGGAGCTACATGACAAAACATTGCAATATTTTTACCGGATAGTTGGATGCTACACCTTTTTTGGTGGAAATAAAATATTATTTATTTTAGTCAATTGTCCTTCAATTCCATCAAACCCCATTCCTATAATTATTGGGTGACATTGTAGATTGGACTCATTAAATTCCAACAAACCGTTCAAGCTACGCATTTTCCCGTCTAACTCTTATCTTATATAATGCTAGCGTATGTTCGTGTCTAAAGATGTGGTGTAAATTTTTTATATTTTTAAAAAAGTAAGATGCGGTGTAAATTTTTTTTTTTCAAAGAATAAGGAGTGAACTTTTTAAAATGTTTAACACTGAAAAGATATAAATGAAGTGCGTGTAATAAAAAATTTAAAACATGAAAAAAATTTATTAAAGACAAAAATAAAAGATTCAAAAAATAAAATTTAATTTGAAAATCAAATTTCAGCCATCATATTATTCATGTACCACTTTAATGCATAGCCAATATGATCATTAACCCTCTGCATTTCATAACATTGTTGCTTACCCTAAAATATAAAAAGATCACACAATGGCAGAGACTAAATTAGTTATATAGTTTTATTATGATAATTTGAATTATTCATTTTTCAAATCCTATGTATAAATTAGTTATGAGAAAAATTAGATTGATAAGATAATTATAACTACATTATTTCATCATATATATTTGTCTTAAAAAAATAGACGATAAGTATAATTTTAAAAATAATCCACAATTTTTTTTATATATAAAATCACATAATTATAATTACTAAATTAATATAATTATGTTTACGAATAATTTACAAATAACAAATAAACAAATTAAATCATTTTATGGTATATCTACACCGCACAAAGCCTCTAACTCACACAGTGGATTGGGAACAATTCTCCCCCTACTATAAATAAGACAATACAAGACAAATAAGGAGATTCAAAACCGAAAAGCAAGTCTATTAAAATTATACTCACACCATACTAATAGATGTATATCTACACCGCACAAAGCCTCCAACTCACACAGTGGATTGGGAAGAATTCTCCCCCTACTATAAATAAGACAATAAAAGACAAATAAGGAGATTCAAAAACCGAAAAGCAAGTCCATTAAAATTACACTCACACCATACTAATAGATGCTGTTATTGTGTATCCAATTGCAGCAGTGATATAAAATATCCAGTGCAAGAGGAACCACTGAATTCTTGAAAACAACTCCAAAAAGACAGTATAATTTTAACTCAAACTTGCTGGATTTGTAATAGCGAGAGATTCATGCCATGCTTCACATTTGACTATGAATTGGAATTTCTAATTGTTCCAACTTAGCAAGGCTGTTTAGGAGTTTGCTAAACTATTGAAAGGAAAAGAGAGCTTTTCATGCCACAATCAGGACAATGAAATTACAATACTGACTCTTTACTTTCTCAAATTTGACTCTATGAAGTATGTACCAGAGTAAGACCAAGGATTGGGTCAGTAGATGAGGTGCTCCCTTGCCAGGGGTGATGTTTGGGTTCGAGTCTTACCTGTTGCGTGATGCAACTTCCCCTTGCCTCTTCCCCCTTCTACTAATTGTTAAAAAAAATTAAAAAAAATTTAAAAGGCTATGTACCAGCGTGGATCATTGTCATCTTAGTTTCAGAAATTATGCCCTCATCAAGATGGCAATAGCCTCCCACTCTAAACTACATATCACATCCTGTTATGGCAACAATTGAAATCATATTTCAAGAAGGGAAAAAGAGAGAGGAAACAGACTTGCTTTGGTTCATGAATTTTGAGAAGGGATTTGGAAAGAGAGAGGAAAGATGTGTGAAATGTAATTATATTTTTCTCACATTTCACTTATCTTTTCCCTTTTTCATTTCCAAATCTCTCTCTAAATCCCTTTTCTCTTTCAATTTCCAAATCTCCAAACAAAGCCTTAGTAAAAAAATTCTCTTTCTCACCATTTCTCACTCAATTTATAAACAATTGATAAATTGAAAATGAGAAAAGAGTTCACTTTTGCATCATTTCTCACCAAACCACCCCATCCAAACGTAGTGTGAGACAACTCGTGACCCGGCATTTTTCTGGGCAGCTGAGTGATTCAACAAACCACCATATTGGCATGGCCAAAGACAAAACTTGGGAAACTTGAATAGTCAAGGCCATAGCCCTTGACCAACAGTTTCATCTTGACAAAATGCACAAAAACAATCAAATCAAATTTTCTGTCTTTTTTTCCTCATTATTTTATTTTCGGAAAGGTGAAGTTATGGTCCAGTAGGAAGCAAATGATAGCATGACAAAGTAAATGCATGGAAATTACCAGTATATGTCTCCCAAGGGTAAATGATTCCATTGTCGTCCATGTCAAAAAAGGCCACATGTTGCTGAAGAACACTCAACCCATAATTCTTATGGCTTGGTGTTCCATTTAGATGGTTTGTATCTGGAGCAGCCAATGCTCTGGCCAAATCTGAATTCATGAATGTCAAAAAGACACATTAGTAGCATAAAGGTGGAGGCTTTTTGAGACTTCAAGAAGAAGAACAATTACTCGAATAAATGAGAAATACTAAAGTCATGTTTTCAATTACCCAAATCAATTCTATTGAACCCAGCAATTAAAGTCATGTTCTCAACACTAAATTGGCAGCAATTAAAGTCATGTTTTCAACACTAAATTGGTGTAGAAAAGTCAATACTCTATTGGTTAAAGTCATGTTTTAACATTTGAAACAGAATCGGTTAATAGGCCTATGTTTGGTTAAAGTCATTGGTTTGTCTTTTACAATCTATTCAATAAACATGAACAAATGTGGTAAGTCATGTTTTCAATAAACAAATGTTAGAATAGTAGTGCTGGGTTCAAATCATGTAGATCCATGTCCGAATCTGCACAACAAACATGTTCTATGGTTCAATCTCAATCTGACAGCAAACATGTTTTATGATTGGTTGGTTATCTGCACAGCAAACATGTTTTATGATTCCATATGGTTCAAAACATGGCTTACCATATATCTACCATATATCTATTCTGTTTCAAGTCATGTAATCCAAATCTGCACAGCAAACATGTTTTCAACATTTGTCTATTCAGTAACCGACCAATCTTACCATATATCTATATCTATTCAGTAAACATGTTTTCAATAATTCTATTGAACCCAGCAGTTAAAAATACTTTTCCATATATCTATAGATTGGTCTGTGCAGAATTTGAATTCAATAACTATAGATTTGTCTGATATAACTCAATATATATATCATTCAAATCTGCACACACCCAGAAAACACCATAATAAAATGCAAAATCTGCACAATACAATAAGATAAACTGTAATCCAAATCTGCACAATACAAAATTTGCAAAATCTATAATCTAAATCTGCACACACCCAATACAAAATCCAAACTGTATATAATTGAAATTTGTATAAGATGAGAGAGAGAAGGGTTACCACAACTCAGATTTATCACAGATCCAACAGATTTGGAGCCTTCCCAAACATCCATGCCCCATGGGTTACCAAAAGGAGGCTTTTAGCCTAGACCAAAATAACCAAAAAAATTAAAAAAATAAAAATTTAAAAATCAATCCACATCCCAAACAACAAAATAAAAATCAATCCACAAAATAACCAAAAAAATAAAAAATTGGTCGGCAGGACTGTCAACCTACACTGTCAACCTCGGTACACTGTCAACCTACCCATCAAGCAGTTTGGTCGACAGGACCCTAAACATGCAAATATGCATACTTTTTTTTGGTATTAATCCAAATCTTTTCTAACGAAATCAGAATTACAATTTACCATCGTGTACGGGTTTGTTCATAATAATTTTTAGGCCGAGATCTGAAATAATTGTGCGGAATAATTTCCACATCCTAAAACTGTTGTGGCATTGATTTCAAGAATTTTATTTGGAAAAGTAGAATGAAGAAGTACCACTCAGCTGCTGCCTGTAACATACCGTCAGAGATGATCCTAGAGCCAGATAGAAGGGTACCAAGTCCAATCCTGCATGATCAGGTATGTGGAAAATTGGAATATGGAGAAAAAGAGAAAAAAATATTGAACTCAGTTCTTGCAAAGAGTGAAAATTTGAAACTAACCCAGGAAAAAGGTACATGTTGTTTCCTTGGTTGCAGTGGCCAATATGACCATTTCCTGTGGAATTTGAAGTCAGTCAACAAAACAGTTATAGTTATATGATAATAATTTTACAAATTTGCATTTAGTAAGTTCCCTAATATCAATGCACCAGGCATTCCAAAATTCTTTAGATAGACATATATATATATATATATATCCACAGATCAGCAAAATAAAGCTAAACCTCACATTTTAAAGTAGAACGGTAAAGCAACTTTAAGGTCAAAAATTTATTATAGCAATGGAGCAAAAGAGTAGAAGGAAATCTAATTCTGAGGCCACCATTTGAAAAGATATCAGATGAATTGTTCAGCCTCCAAATTGCTTCCAGTGACTTTAAAAAGAAAAGAAAAGAAAAGAAAATATAGAAATAAAATAAAAAAGAACAACAAAAACAAATTGAACAAAATAATAAGCATGCATAGCTAACCATTTGCAAATATTCAAATGCTTTCATATTCAGATGCAATATCAGGGTAAATTCTTTTGGGTGAAGAGAATGACAAAAAAATACACAATAAATTAAAACTGAAGATCATGCTAGAAAATAAGGAAAAGTAAATCCGAATTGGGCTTCCCAAACTGTAAACAGAATCAACTACACTCAATGGAATGTAAGAATTCACCTGCCTACTATTCCTGGGCAAAGACACACACTCACAAATCGCATTTTTCTGGGTAGCAGAGTGATTCAACCAGCCACCATATTGGCATGGCCAAAGACAAAACTTGGGAAACTTGAATAGTCAAGGCTATAGCCCTTGACCAACAGTTTCATCTTGAAAAAATGCACAAAAACAATCAAATCAAATTTTCTGTCTTTCTTTCCTCATTATTTTATTTTCGGGAAAGTGAAGTTATGGTCCAGTAGGAAGCAAATGATAGCATGACAAAGTAAATGCATGAAAATTACCAGTATATGTCTCCCAAGGGTAAATGATTCCATTGTCGTTGTCACGCCCTCAAAATAATAACAATAAACCCATCAGATAAGACATGCATTTACATTTAAACTAACTGCATTTCTTTCATTCATTAGACTTGGTGTTCCATTTGGATGGTCTGTATCTGGAGCAGCCAATGCTTTGGTCAAATCTGAATTCATGAATGCCAAAGAGACACATTAGTAGCATAAAGGTGGAGGCTTTTTGAGACTTCAAGAAGAAATATAATTGTATGCCCGTGCCTGAAGGCACAGTGTTAATAATGTTGGGATTAAAATATAATTGTAATCCCAACACTATTTAGTAAATTATCAATTTAATATAATTGTAATCCCAACCCTTCCATCTTATTATATAGATTATCAATTTAATATAAAAACAACACTATTCTTGGAAAAAGAAAACAGACCTAAGTGGGTTTTTTTAGCAGAGAGCTCTGTCTCTTTTTTTTCCTCTACATCTCTCTCTTCCTATTTGAACTCCATTGTTGCTCAAGTTTGAGCTTTGAATGACAAATCACAAATCCAAACCCAAATACACTACCAATTCAAATATAGATCCGGTTATATCTCGGGTGGATTACAAAGTTCTTGGTGCTTGGATGGGTTTAATAAACAAATGAGCCGTAAGAGAGAGAATGAGATGAGTTTAATTAATTGTGGAGGAGGTGTTGTAATTAATTGTGGAGAATGGAATTCAAATAAAATGTATTAGATTAATTCAAAAATTTGTGAGTTTGGGAGAATGAAATTCTAATAATAACAGTATGGAGCCCAATCTAAATGACCCATAAACAATCTAAAATAACTCTAAAAATGTACATAACCTTGAAGCCCCTTAAGGTTATGAAGGAGATGGACAAAAAGTTCAACACAACATTCTAGTGACAGCAAGTTGCACAACTATAAACCAAATAACAAAAATTTCAAGTTAATATTTCTATTGACCGTTAACGAATCACGACAAATAGGCAATTTCATTAATACAAATACCACAATGAGACTTTAAAAACTAATTTTGACAGTAAATTCCAGTATTCACACTACCTTTGTTTCAGTCTGGTTAGAAATTTTTCCATTTATTTGGCTCTTTATTATCTCAAGTTGTGTACAACATAACAAAAATAGAAATTCTAAAAATTACAAAACCCACTACAAATTTTTAAAAGTTCAAAAGCTCACTATTACTATAAACTGAACTAACTATAACTATAACTATAAACTGAACTAACTACACAAAAATCACCTAACTGAACATCTATAAATCTAGAAACAATGAATCAAATGTAAAAGTTAAAAAACGAACTCATCAATAATGAAAATTTAGTGTTTGATTTTTCTTTGGATTTGAATATAGAAATTAGACTTTTCTCAAGTGTACAAAGGTTTTAGAGTTCCAAATAGGAGACATGTTGCACATGATAATACATCTGTCAGCAAATGATCCTTCTAACTGAATCTTTTTATCGAGTATTTCATATGCAACCAGTTGTGGCTAATACAAAACACATGGAAGGCCAACTGAAAAAAAATAATAAAGAAATTAAAAAAGTTAAAAAAAAAAAACACATAAGAAGAAATTATTTGAAAACCAACAATGAACAATGAGAGCTGTGCTGCCAAATAAACCTTGGAGTTGGAATACATACTTGAGTCCCAGTGGCATAAGTCTGTCTGATAAACCATCATCAGGAAAAAGTGTTTTGCGCCTAGGCTCAGTTTCTCCCTGTATTCCAATCAATCAATTTCCTATCAATGTTGTAATTTTGATTTCGAATAGAATTCTTCATTCAGTTATCTAAAAAATAAAAAAGAGCTAGGAAACAAAAGACAGCAAAGGGAGGGGAAAAAGAAAAACAAAGAATAATCAGTGTCTGACCATTGTTAAGAATTGATTGGTAGGTATACTTAGATTGATCTCAACCATTGATACATTTTGATACATTTTTCAAAAACCCTCATGCCTACTTAAGAAATTCCCCATTTCTCCCATTTGTTCATGCATTCTTCACATCCAAAATTATGTCTCAGATCATTGCATATCCAAAATAAATAAATAAATAAACAATTATATTTGAAAACACATTTAAACAATACACACATGATTGCTCCCCAATATTATTCAGCATCAAACCAACAAACCTCATTTACATATAACTATACGGTTCACAAAAAAAGTAGTAGTTAAAGATTGTTACGTAGTTGTGTGAAGAGCTAATTCATCAAACACATCTCCGAACAAACCTATATAACAAAAAGGTATATTTTTTGACACACACACACACATATGCTTATTTATGTAAATCAACAAAAATCACCTGAGAAAGAGAGAGAGAGCACGATGTAAGTCCCTGAAGGCTCAAATGTCAAAGAAATGAAGCCCCTTTCCACAATTAGCAGAAAATGGTTCGATGATCAAAGACTCTGTTCTTGTTAGGGTTTGTAGGAACAGTCCTCTGATAGAACAAACCAAAAGAAAGAAACACAATTACAAATAATTATCAAAACCACTAAAAAAGTAAAAGAGTAAATAGAACGAACATTAAAACATAACATAGGTTTAGTAGGTTTAGTGGTAAGGGCATTTTGTCAATTTCACCATTTGCTGGACATGAACTTAAAATTTTCATATTTTGTAATTTTCCTGTATCTATTCTTTGTATCTGATTTTAGTCTCTGTAGAATAAACTTCCCCTGTTAGAAACCTTGGTTTGAAACCTCGAAAGTGCATTATTATGGCAAACGTGTAACAATCATGATTAGTTTGAACTCTTATCAAATTTCAATTTTTTTAGTTAATAATGACAGTGATAGCATATCAAAAAACAAATAAATAAAAAAATAAAAGAAAAGTTACTAATTTTAGAGATAACGCGTGCCAATGAGCAAGATGATGGAACACAGCATATTGTCACTAGAAAGAGCAAAGAAGGCATATGAGAAGAAGCAGAGGAAGCAAAAGCAACTTCGAATGAGGACTCCTATAAAATCTCCACCACCACAGCCACCCAGCAGACCCGAGAGTTCGAAAAAACAACAGCTAGTGTCAAAGAATGGCGAAGTAAAAGCCAAGAAAAGAATCGTGGATAGTGATGACGACGACGATTTTATACTGAGCCCCAAGAGAATAAAAGTGTAAAAAGGAAATGCCCTTTTTTTGCCCTTTTTGGTGGTGTATTTTTAGAGATTTGCTTTTAATTGAACCCTTCAAATTTAACTACGATGAGGCAAGTGATAGAAATCCATCAAACTGATGATATATTGAGACATTCTTTACATTGTCTGATGTTCAGAAATAATAAAAGGAAAAAAAATCATAATTCTTGTTTATTTCTCGTTCATCTACCTATATCTGAGTTGATGATGTGCTAAATATATTCTTGCGGGACTTAAGTAGCATATATAACCATGACAGAATACCCTAGAGTAAAGCAAGAATTACATTATACATAAATATAACTCTCTTATATAGTAAGAGGAAGTTAGATATGAGAGTTTGATATATATATATATATATATATATCCTTTTCGCATCCAGTAGCAGTACTAAAACACACACCTTACTCATTTCAATAAGTCAATCTAGGTTAATAAAGTAGTTAATGAACTTACTTCATCACCTATCCAATTATCCATGGGTAGCCATATTAGGTTGGGTTTTGAGTTGAGAGTTATCAAATGGTTCAGATTAGCCCCTAGACGTGGACTGTAGTAAATCCTGGATAATAAGATGGAGAGATCCAAAAAAAAAAATTGACAGGAAGTAGAAGCATTAGATTACCCAAGAATCTAGTTGCGCGGTACTCGTGAATTACCCAATTAGTCCTCTGGCCATTCGGAGCACGACCCGCATAGAAAACCAAAGTCTTCTTCATGCCAATCACAGTGGTTCCCCTCAGAGACTTGATAGAACTATCCTTACCCGTGGCCTTCCAGTACCCAGCCACAGTCGCTCTGTTCAATCGATGCCCATTCTGATACTTGCGATCTTTAGGACAGAAAAAGAACCACTCTTCATCATTCATCTTTATCACCGATTTATCTGCATAAAAATAGATCAAATCAAACCCAAAATTAGGACTTTTAATCAAGTATATATCAATAATCAAAGCAAAAAAACCCAAAATTTTAATTTTTTAATTTTTTATGTGGGTAGTTTTACCAGGCAAATCCTAGGGTTCGCATTTGCAGACATCGATCTCTTGAATAACACTGACTTGCTTCTCATCGCCGTTGATCTTCAACTTCAGATAGTAATTGATAAGTACTTCGTCGGTACGGCGAAATCGGTACCCAAACGGAAGAGACTCCTCCGAGGGTTCGCATTTGCAGACATCGATCTCTCGAATAACACTGACTTGCTTCTCATTGCCGTTGATCTTCAACTTCAGATAGTGATTGATGAGTTCTTCGTCGGTAGGGCGAAGTCGGTACCCAACCGGAAGAGACTCCTCAGCCAAAATTTTAGAGAGAGACATCGCTAGAGAGAGAGAGAGAAAAGAAAGAGAAAGTGGGTATGGATCGAAATGAAGAATTAAAAACCTATAGAGGTAGCATAGGGAATGGATAAACAAATCGAAAGATAAGATGTATGAGATTCAAAGAAAATTCAGTGGGGTTTCAAAGACGTGGGGTTTGAATTGAAGAAGGAAGCAACGGAGAAAGTGAGAGAGATAGATATAGAGATTGACAGAAACCATCACAGATTCCTGGGCGGGAGATCTATTGATCTCAATCATTGACATAAATTTAAGATTAATCTCAGCCATTAAAATGTCTCTCTCATACATTTATATATCTTCAAAAACCCTCTTCTCTTATTATATAGATATAATATTAGCCTATCACTCGTACTATGCACGGGATATAAATTATATTCTTTAAAAAATTTTATAAAAATAATTTAATAGTCTTATCACTAATTATAGTATATGAGAGAAGTTAAAAATGATACTATAGTAACTATACACAGATTGTATCTATAATTATTTATATAAGAAGATTTTAAATACTGATCAGGAGATTTTGACCAAATCAATAAATGTAGGCATGTGAAAAAACATATGGATTAAAAAAAGTTAATAAATACTGATCAGGAGATTTTAACCAAATCAATAAATGCTGAGTTTTTTTCTTTTTAATAAAAAATTTAAAAAATACAGATTGAGATATTAAAACTCCCACAGGTCTTGGGGGTTAAAAACCTCATTTTGCTTAATATATGGTATAGATATATGACAAAAAGTATTTACATATAAATTGTTTATACTATATTAGAATTTATTTTCTTAAATAAGATGTAAAATGAATATTTATTAAATAATATTTAATTGTTAAAACGGCATTATATTATTCTAGTAACAAATTATGGATATGAATTTTGTATAAATGTCACTTATCAATCGGATGACAAATTCTTCACCTTAACAAATAAAACATTAAGAGTTGATTTAAAAGTTGATTTTTTTATATAAAAAAAATATATACATATATATATAGAATAATATGATAATTTATAATAACTTTCTAATTTTTAAGTTAAAATAACTTATCTCAAAGTGAGGCCTAAGTGTAAAAAACCCTAACACCAGCTAATTTATCCTTCGTGGTCTTGCATATTATACCTCTTTAATCCTCTACCCTGAATAATTAATTATCCAATATAAAAACAAAAATATTTAACACTTTAAAAATATAATCGTTTAATAAGTAATGTTAAGGGGTATTTTTTTTCAGGTCCCTGATATTAAGATTTTACAGTATAAAGGACATCAAATATTCTCATAATGTCTAAGGTCCCTCAACAATATTTTCATAATGTTTAAGGTCCCTCAACCTTAATCCAGAGAAATTTCAGTCTAGAGAAAATTGGTCCAGAGAAATTCTGGCCCAAATTTCTCTGGAAAGTCTAGAGAAATTCTGAATTTCTCAGAATTTCTCTGGTCCAATTATTCTTAGAATTTCTCTGATTTGAGGAAGGAAGGGAAAATAAACGATCATAACAGTAAACTCACATCCAATGTAAGGGTATTTGAAAACTGAGCATACACAAAATTATTGCATTGAGTAAAATCAAGAAACAAAATTCAGCTCTTTTGAAATTTCTCTGAGTTGAGAATTTCTCTAGACTCACTTTAACTCAGAATTTTTTTTTGAAAAGCCAAAGAAATTTTCCTCACCAGCCCAGAGAAATTCACTCAAATCAGAGAAATTCCCCATCTCCAAATCACTCAACCCAGAGAAATTCACAACTCAAAAATTTCTCTGGTCCAAAACCAGAGCAATTCTCTCCAAAACCAGACAAACCAGAGAAATTCTCTGGATTGAAACCAGAGAAATTCTCTCTATTTACAGTAAAGTTGTATTTTTATGAACAGAACTTGGTGATTGTATATTGATCTAGGAAATTTCTCTGACTTCACAAATTTCTCTGGCTCTATTACAAAGAATTTCTCTGACTTACTGAGGGAGACGACGGAACTGCTCACAGTCCTTTGACCCATTTTTGTTGAAGTTTGTAACTAGATTATTCATCATTCTAGCTATTGCTTCCTTGAATTCACCAGGTTGGTTCCTTTCTACCTTATTATTAATATCTTCGACGACTCCTTTGACCACAGACCCAACTTTAGCACCCTCCATATAAGCTTTACATGCTGACAGAATGTCATGTGCTTGAAGAAGAAAATGCCCAACAACCCAGAGGCCGACACATGTACGATTTCGGAGACGTCCGATTCGTCCCACCCGCCTTTTCTCAACTCCGATCCGATCTGGTCAATATACTCGTCGACCCATTTTGGCATTTCGGATCTGGGTATGTCGAAGTACCGTTCTGGGGACGAGGAGGAAGAAGACAAAGAATTGAGGTAGCCAGTCAATCCAGCTCGTTTTTCATACTCATAATCAATAAACACAGTATTTCTCTGAGATTGGGGGAGTTTGGAGAGGATTCGGATGAGAAGCTACATGGTTGAGAGCTTCCTTGTTCTTAAGCCAGAGTTGAGACCAGTTCAGAGATTTCTCTAGTGAGCCAGAATTGGATCCCGATCTCACCGATAAACGATTCGAACAAGGAGAATCTTCATCTGGTCAACGCCGCTCCGGCGAAGATCGAGTCGATCGATGTGTCCCTGGCGGAGGAGCTGAGTGCGATCTGCCAGAAGATCGAACGCCTGAGATGAGATTGGACAGAGAGATGACGGAGAAGATGCTGAGAGAGAAGCATTTGGTGATGGGGACGAATTTGAAGGAGATGGTGAAGAGAGGTGAGGTCCAGAAGCTACTTGAGATCGAGGTCGATAGGTTGTTTCGGGTAGAGAAATGTTTAGGGACCTCAGACATCAAAAAATAATTTTATGGATCGCTTCCATTATGAAAAATGGGAGAGGGACCCTAGACCGATTTTCCCTAATGTTAATTTATATTGTTTGGTAAATAAAATTAATTGCAGTGACAAATAAACGGTTTGTTTGGAAAGTGAGTTGGTTTTTTTGCTATTTTAGTTTGGGGCTAAAAAGTTTCGTTTGGGAAGGACTTTTTGACTTTTTTGAATTTTTGTAAGAGAAAAAATATAATGATTATTGGTTTAATATAATGTTTTATCTTATTGGGCTAAAAAATCTATTTTGTCTTTTTATGACTAAAATAATCCCAAACCCAACCCAACCCAACTCAACTCAATCCAACCCAACCCTTCTTCCCAAACGAAGCCAAAATCACATTGTGTAGTAAGCATCTTTCACGGTAAGAGGCAAAAATACCTTGCAAAAGTATATATAAAAGTATCATCTTTATTTTGCCTAACTAATCTAATTAATGTGTATTTCAATTATATTTTTTATTTTAACTACTCAATCAAACTAACTAATTTTTTAAAAAATATATAATAAACACATATAAATAAATAAATAATCTTTTTATGACATTGACATGACATTTGTAAATATATTTTTTAACTATTGAGGAGGTCATTCCCTGGGACAACCATTCTGAACTATTGAGGAGGTCATTCTGCACAGCATCCCCTAGGATAATCAGCGAGTCTGTTGTATGATCACCAATGGAATGATCGGTCACACAACTGGTGTGCCTATTGGAAAGAAGATGAACAGTATTTTTAGACAATATTGTTGTGCTGGCAACTTTAGCCTATCAATGAAAGCTGGCTAGATGTAGAGAGTAAAAAATCAAAATGGGCAAAATGTCTATCGTGATGCAGGGTTGATTGGAGGAGAAGAAAACAGAGTTCACTAACAAAAATGCCTAACAATGTTGTTTAGCCTCTCCCCTTGGAGATACTTTTAGTATGATAAATTTTAGGGAGATTTAGTTAAAATTCTCTCATAATAAAATTTAATGCATTAAGGAGAAGTAGAAAAAGTTTTTTTAAAAAAAGTTCAACATACACCACTAGTATCAAAATATCCTTGGTGACTAATTTAATATTTTAAATTTTAAAATAATATAATTTTTGATAATATTTTAAAATCCTCTCATCAAGCTCTATCAAATAAGATGCAGATTGACTATGAAATTCTTTATAATAAAAAAAATTATCGTCGAAATTAACATAAACAGTAAAATTTTACTCTGTTTCATAATAAAATCTATACAACAAAAGAAATAACTCAATAACACATAATTCACCAGAAAAAAACTCAAGAGCACACTACCAAAATAAAATTTTACTATCATTCTTGAATATGGCATCAGGGAAAAAAATAAAATAAAAAACATTTTCTTAACATGGTCAATTGACGAAGCTACTTTCGGTCCGGTTCGAAGAGTTGATTCGTAATCAATTGACCTACTTTTTGCCTTCCGCTTTGTTGTGCTTCAACAAATTGTATTTAGTTTTGTAGAGAGTCAATATTTTGATTGAAGATTATTCTAGCGGAAGCAAGAAGGCTTCTCATGCAAACCGAGCCGATTTCCAATACTTTTTCATGAACTCACCATTGATTTATCGACTCTATTATATATTTTTCCTACGAATGATATGAATTTGAATGAAGATGTTCAATAAGTGGTTTCTCTTATTAGAAAATAGTGTTCGATGATGAAGACAATTTTAGATTCTTCTGATGATAATCTCATGAGTGAAGTATTAAAAATGCTTGAGGGTATTCCCAAATCGAGGCTTCCCAATGGACATCTCAAGTTTCGCCCAAATCGACACAATTCACTGGTTGGTCGATATGAGCACCTTCGTCAAGAACTTCCTCTCTCTCATTTATCTTTCTCTCTCTTTCCCGCATATATGTGGAAGGGCAAGATTGTCCAAAAAGAAATTATAAAAAATGTTTCTGTATCGTCATCAGGTATGAACCTCTAGGTGAGGCAGTTTATGAAGGAAAAAATTATGGATTGTCCTTTTCGCTAAAGAAGGGCCGAATGGATGAGTTTTTGCCAATTTTCCCATAATTATAGTGTTAGCATGGTTAAAAAAATCATTATTAACTTACAAAAACCATAT